AGAAGACACCTTTGCGTAAACTATGTAGAGTTATTTCACCAAATATATTTTATATATATATATATATATATTATTGCAGCTTCCAAACAAGATGGTGACTCACCACGGATTGTAGAATTTCCCTTCATAAGGACAAATTCCCTGGCAGATGCATTAAAATCGAATTATTTTTGTAGTGCTGATCTTCTAACAAGCATGTAAGTGATTTTTTTAATTTTGTGTGAAAGGGGGTTTTAGATTTGCAAAGGTTTCATGCTTTGAAATGACTGTAATTTAATTCATATTTTGCTACCAAGTTGTCTTATAGCTGTAGAGTATGAGAATGGGGTTTACAGTGCCTTGGCAATTCAGGTTGATGTGATAATTCTTGGAGTAGTTAGGACACAGGCCAGCATCCTCATTACATAAATGCCCTAAGCACAGCATACATATCATTTGCTATCACTGGTTTCCAAGACCACGGTGAATATCTTAGCTTGAAGACATATGCCTACATATTTTTTTATTTATCTCTGTGAATACTGGTCTCAGTTATTGTATGTCCCTGGTCTTTTTCTAAGCAATTTTGGAGTTGTTATTTGAAATGTAGGGCATGTCAATGACAGGTATGGATGTGTTAATTCTGGATTATTGCAAGATAAACTGCTGCTGGTTCTCTTAGAGAACATTGCTGTGAGAACATGATGGCAAATATAGTACCGCCATGACAGAGCACCCCTGCATTAAAGTAGGAATGTCACATGGTGTCTAAGTGGACAGTTCTATAGCTGATGGATCAGACATAAGCTCCTTTCATTATATAATGTTGTAGGGTTGCATGGAAACCATGGTGCATGAACACAAGGTGGGGGACAAGAGATGAACTACTTAATGAATTTTTGGGTGCCATAAGACACATTAATAGTACTGCATTTCTTTATAAGGTTACACATTCCATTTTGAAACAAACCAGGCTGTGCACCCAACTGATGGTGGAAAGCTACATAAGCTGTACAGTCCAATGGTTTTATCTTTTCCCGATAAAAATACTTTTTTCCAGTGACAGCTTACCTGAGTCAAGCCGCATTTTCACTGCCCATAGCTCCAAGACTGCTGAGAGCAGGGCCCATGTAGGCATTATATTTTTCACTCAGAATAATCTCGAGAATCATTTCCTGAAGGTACAACATGAAATCATGGGGCATTTTATAGTTCCTTGCTGCCATGTCATTAAACTCTTGCCACTGAGTAGATGGTCATTTAGCCCTTTAACTTTCAGTGTATTTAATCAGTGTGTAAGTATGTGTACTTCTTTTAGGATGTAGTATTATTCTCCCTTTGAGACACACAGAAGGGGTAATATGTATTTGAGTTACCTGTAATCATGTGTGTTTAATTTGAATATAGTGATGAGAAGTACAAGAAAAAGCAAGAAGCAAGAAAGAAACAGGAAGAAGAAGAAAAGTTGAAGGCCTCACATTTTCAGAAACGTGAAAAGAAATTACAAGTGAAGGCACTGGAACGGATGACAAACTACTTAAAAATCACAGATGCCATCCTTGATGATGAAATAATTCTTGAGGAGGAAAAGGTTGCACTTCCTGAGCTGACCTCACAGATGCAGGTACAGTGGAACTGCTCTTGTGTTTCTAGCTCTTGGAACATCTTGTTGAAATGAAAATTATGTAACATTTTGTCCCTATTTTGATAGGTAGGTAGTTTTACAGCAAATGTTAATGAACACATTCCTGAAGATAAGTTTGTAGATTCTTTGCATTTTTTATTATGTGTCAGATAAATCCTGAAGTCATGCTTCTGTGAGAGTCCTTGTCTTCCTGAGGCATATGGAATGTGTTTCTGTTCATATTGCAATAGGAACCCAGAGTCTTGCTGTTTGTAACTGTATTTGTTATGCTCTCTTTCTCATTTCTGTCCTTTTTATCATTACAACAGGATGTTATTGAATCAGCACTTATTCCCAGACCGTCTAATGAAGTTCTTGTTGAGGCTTTCGGTTTACCTATAAAGCGACATGATATGCAGACATTGGCTGGTCTCAATTGGTTGAATGATGAGGTAAGTTAGTAAATTTATTCATATGTGTCTGATATAACCCCCCCATTTACTCTTTTCATTATATGAAATGGAAGAGTTATTAATACAGCCGAAATATAAATTACGAACATGAAATTTCTCGTCCTTTATTCCTTAATGTAGCATATTTGATAACATCTGAGGTATCATAAATAATCCTATTTCTTGTCATCGTTTTTGCAGTTGAAATTTGGATTTTAAACCAGAAGGACACCTAGAAATTAGGGGTAGGAAAAGTGTACTTTGATCAAAATTTCATTATGTTCTGCCACCAAAGCAATTATGACATCAAAGAAAGTTTGACAGTTACAAATGTAATTGAAGAGATACAGGAATCGGAAATGTGTTTTGGTCTTTGTGTGAAGTGTCCTCTATTGCTGTCTGATCTCAATTGAAATTAAAATATGATGACAAATTTTAGTAAAATTCCCCAATATAAATCTTCATAAAAATTCATTTACAGGTTCACAAATTGTTACAGGCAGATAGACAGATGGACAGATGAACGTGATGTAGCTAATTTTGCATTTTCACAACATTTTATTGCAGACTCAGAAGAAAGAATGAACAATGTGATGCCTGCATTAATTTTTTAAACTTCAGTGCTGTATAATAATATATATATAACTAAAAGCTGGGCTTCGAAATTGTGTATTTCAGTCCGTTTATGATATTATGAATACTTGTTATAGTGAGCAATTTTATTAGTTTTATTAATTCTGTTATGGCACTATGCTACAAGTCGGAAGGTCGTGGGTTCAAATATCGAGGCCATTGGATCTTTTTCAGTTGACCTAATCCTTCCAGCCGCACTATGGCCCTGGGGTTCACTCAGCCTCTAACAGAAATAAGTACCAGGAATTAATTAAATAATTTTCCTGGGGAATAAAGCATGGCCGGCGTGTAAGGCTGACAACCTTACCGCCATCTTTGAGCCGATTGTCTAGATAAAGTGGGACCCTCAACGTCTCACAACCCTATGGGATTTCATGGCCTGTTACAGGGATAGCTTTACCTTTTTTACTTACTTATGCTTGCACTGCATGTGTAGTATGATTTGCTTTGAATCAATAGATTTTTATTGACAGTAAATGAATTTCAAAGGCATTGAGCGATATGGAATTTATAGTATTGTGACATGTTGACCCCTACCTCCCCAGCTGCACGTAGCGGTAACGTAGCACTCGCGTAATAGGCAAGTAATCACCTCGCAACTCTCCCCGCGGTGACGTCACGAGCGGTGCCGAGCGAAGCTGAAGTGAGCCGAAGTTAGCCGAGTCCTAGCATCCTGGTCGCTATGCAAAGCGAGTCAACAGCGATGACGTCACCAAGGGCAGCGCGGGTTGCTAGGCAGCGCGGGTAACCAGGATTGCGAGAGACGACGGTAGTAACAGCGGTTACTACCGCTAGCGTTGCTAGCAACACAGCGCCAGGCAACAAGGGTGCATATTACGTGGCCGTTTTCTGTATTGTCCGATCGAGGCTACATGAGGCGCAGCGAAGGCTATTCACAGTTAGTCCTGGAGCTACCTCCGAGTTAGTTCCGAGTTAGCCAGCAACCAACCAGTTGTATTGTGGCATTTGGAGTGTACTAATTGTGATACTGCAGATAGCTGTAATCGTAAATCTGTAATTTGGGTGATTGTAAGTGCGAATGTGAAATAAAATTCGCTATATCAAATACGACGTGAAGTTATTTGTCGTGTTATACGCCCAAGACCCGTGACAGTATATATTTTGAAATATAACGGTTACATATTTATGGGATGTGTAATCATTATAACTGTTTGTTTTAGGTAATAAACTTCTACATGGAACTTTTAAAGGAACGTGGGAAGCTGGATAATTATCCATCAGTTTACACCTTCAATACATTCTTTTATCCAAGACTGTTATCTGGTGGACATGCTGTATTGAAGAGGTGGACAAGGAAGGTACTCTTTATTACAGCATGTTGCTGCTGTATAATAAAAGGATGAGTTAGTAAATAGGTCACAAATGGAAGTAAAACAGCTGTAATGGATGTAATAGGTTTTCTCTGTGTATCACTAGGTAGCAGCACAGTGCAGCTTCATGACAGTCTAAGTAGCAAATGTGCACGTGCTTGTTCAGAGGTTGGTTTCAGTAGTCAAAATGGTGACTGTGCTTGAGAACTCTACTATCCAAGAGCAGTGTTTGGTTGTGTGTTTTGTGTGGGAAGAAGTACTCAGTACAAAGGATATTCATAAAAGAAATTCCTGTTTACAGTGGGAAATGTGTGTTGCACAAAGCAGTTCACAAGTGAGTTGAGAAACATGGCAAATGTTTCAGTGATGATGAAGAAGTTCGAAAGGGAGGTGCAGAAGTGGCTGAGACAGCAGCCAAAATACTTCTGTGCTGTGGGTTCTGACACATGGTAAAGCAATGGGACTAGTGTATCAGTGTTTGTGGAGGATATGTCAAAAAATAAATGTTTTTTCCAGGTTCAAATATCACATGTTTTACATTTTATATCCATTTGTGACCTATTTACTGACTCTTCCTCATACAATTTTTAGTTAATATCTGCTTATGAATGTATGTTTTTGTATAAGCTTATTTGTACAGAATCTTTTAAACTGTGTTGAATAAAGGTAAGCAAAATCTGAGCCCGGTCCTTTCAGACTAGCATTGGCCCACCTGGGGTCAGTATTTAAAAATAACCCGGGGCAGGCAAGTATAATGGAAGTATGCATAAACTGGAAACATCAAGAATCAAATGAAATCAAGGAAGATAAATTGATTTTAATTCTAATGACAGCCAGTGATCTTTGTATTAGCTATAAAAAATGGCTAACAGAAGCATTTGATCTAGCTGTCTTGAGTATGCCCATATGGAATTCATGAAAACTGTTACCGTAAAAGAAAACGCTTGTTTAGTAGATGACAGTCACGAAGTACAAGATTCCACTGCAGTTGATACTGCATCATTAAATAGCCTACAATCCATACATCTAACCATTAAATTAAATATAAAATCAGCTGTTTATTTTGAAGTACATTGTCACAGTGCTTACAGCATCTGTCAACACATCCATAGTTCTCATGACAGTCAATATCTATTATGATTACAACTGTGACACCTGCATGCAGACTGCTGTCATATGACCCTATCTCTTCTGAAGCAATATGATATTTGAACAAAATATTTTTGTGGTAAGAGTTATTGGTCCTGTCCTTCAAGCTGGAGGATTGGAGGATCACCCCTTGTTACCTGTACCTACCTGCGTATTCAGTACTTTCAGAGTTACTTTCCATGTATTAAAATGGTACAAGGCATGAATTTTTTTCTTTTAGGTTGACATCTTTTCCTATGACCTCATTATTGTACCTGTTCATCTTGGAGTCCATTGGTGCATGGCTGCCATTGATTTTCGCAAGAAAACTATTAAATACTATGACAGTATGGGATCTCCAAATAACAAGTGCTTAGAGGTAGATTAAATTTTCGTATTTATTGACTGCCACCATGATTTATATTTGTGTAATAGCTTCATTCCAAAGGTGACTGAGTAACTCAGAATCATTCTATTTGAAATTGTTGGTACTATCTTCATTTTCATTGAAGTGTGTGTAATTCGTTTAACTTTAATATCGCTCATTTTAGCTGATTATGAATCCAATTTTTCAGACAAGTGGTATGATTGTTCTGTACTGTTCCATAAAAAATTAAAAAGATTCTTATGAAATAATGTTAACAAGGAGTTTTTGTAATTAGGAAGATGCCTGTATTCAAAAATCAGTGGAGCTTGGAAACTGCAGATAAGGGAGATAATGGTTTTTGTTGTAGTAGTGGCTTGTACCTCTGAGTGTGTTCTTTGAATGTCTGGTAACAGTTTATGTATTCATTTACTTTTTCAGAGTCTAATGAAATATCTTCAAGATGAAAGTTTAGATAAGAAAAAGATACAATTCAAAACTTCTGGATGGCAGACAGAAAATGTTCAGGTTTGTCATATTGTCATGCTTAATATTCAATGCAATGTTCCCATTATTAAGTCAGTTACTAGGATAATGACACGAGGCAGTAATAAAACAGTGTTGGGTGTTTGCAATCTGAGTCTGGCTTCACATGGCTGTTTAGAAGCTATTAGGGCCAAATAGGTCTTTATGTGCTACAGTTTATTTCGGTGCCCTAATTGAAGGCCGCAGGTTAAAGTCCCGATTAGGTCATTGAATTTTTTTTTCAATTGACCTAATCCTTCTAGCTGCTCTATGGCCCTGGGGTCGACTCAGCCTCTAACAGAAATGAGCACCAGATATTAATTAAATAATTTTCCTGGGGAGTAAAGCGCGGCCGGTGCGTAAGGCTGACAACCTTACCGCCGTGTTTGAGCCAATTGTCTAGGTAATGTGGGACCCTCAACATCTTACAACCCTATGGGCCTTCACGGCCTGTTACAGGGATAGCTTTACTTACTTTACTTTACTTACAGGGTTGTATTACTCCATGTGCTTGTTCACTAAGCTCCTTCCAAGGCTTTTTTTTTAGCTACTACTCACCCAGTGGCATGAGTCAGTTCGCTCAAGGTTTACCACCTAATATGCCTTTCAGTCAGTTTTAATGGTACAGAAGTTATCTAAAGAAGACTGCAAAATTATTATTGCTTATTTATGATTTGAATTATTCTGCATTTTACTGCTTGTGGAATATAATTACTGCATCAGATTACAAATTGACTATTATCTTTATCAAGAAGTTCATGAAGTCATATCAACTTGGTCATTGACAGTTAACCTTGAATTATGCAGTATCATGAGGATTGCATGTACAGTACACATGCACTAAGCAGTGCACAGTTTCAGTGCCTTCCTTCCTTTTCCTGGTAATCCATCTGAGTCATTTGCACATAATTTGCTGGAGAGTTGAGCTCCCTTCTCTTCCTTTTGTGATAGGAGTCTTGTTTCTGAGATAAATTGTGAGAAACACAGAATGGAACAAAATTGTGTGTACATTCCATTTTTTTTT